ATATAGCTGACTGGCTCTGACTCCTTCTTTCGGGCGTTTTTCCGCTCTTTGTACGGTATAAACATGTTATGCGTACGCAAATACACGTGCAAGGATACACAGAGTGTACAAAAAGAAGAGAGTCGAAATAAACGTGTCACCCATATTTGCCGTGTCTAAATATTTTAAACTCGCCTCGTGAAAGCAAAGCGGAAAAGAAAGGATAATGGAAACGACGACCCGACGACCCATATAATCATACGTACAGCAATAGTACAGCCAGTTATTTTGTTTTGGGTTATCGGGACGCATTGTATAACCACTACCTCGACCATTCCCTCGACCATTCCCATGTCATTTCGGTTTTTTTTTTATTTTTTTTTTTTTCTGCTGTTACGCATCAACGATATGGAACTGCACCAGCCTTCATTTCCCTTCGGCAGAGATCGAAAGAAGTTTTGCAAATCAGAAATCCGCAATACACGATAACGGAGAGGGGAGGAGACACGAAAATCAGTATTTACATCGGCGCGAGTATACAACAGATGTGGCATATCGCCCGCGCACACACACACACACACACATTACACATCAACAACAAACAAGGAGGAGGATGATGATGATGCGAGGGGAGATGTGATCCGTCCTCGCGCTCGTTCACGGGATAATCGATTAATACGCGATGCTCGCTCGCTCATTAACGCATGTGTCTGCCGCAGAGACGAAGCTCCCCTCTTCCTCGCTACAGTACGCGTAAACTCGATCAGTGCGGTCGTATATATGTTTACGTATACATGTGTACCTGCAGCCGGCTTGTGTTACATTCACGTGTGCGTGCGTGGGCTTTATGTGCTGTATATACGCGTAACCGAGGCATTATGGAGTATATATATATACACATGATGCACGCGTCACGTGTTTGACTTTGCGATGATTCAATATTTAACTTGCTTACTTCCGCTGCATCGGGAAAACATGTATACTTTTTTTCTTGACTTGAAATCACTCGAGTGATGATTTAGCCTATAGACTTGAGCGTCAAATCAAATTTGAAGTTGTTCGCTGGAAAATGCGTTACAACGCGTCACTGTGACAATCACGTGACCGTCTCGTATTTTATGTTGTGCATAATTATTTCACATTCGCATATGAACCTAATATACGGACGGGTGGGCTGGTAAAGAGTTTCACACGCTCTCTCCTCTCGCCAAGGCCTGCGTTATCTGTATAGCAGCTAACTATGGGCGCTGGCTGTGACGACGTATGCACATTACAGCTGCGTGTTAATCACTTACAAGGTGTCTCCTCGCCCGCGTGTAACACAAGAACGCCCTCGGGAGCTGTGCTAATGCTGCTTTTGCTGGTATACATAATTATGATTCACTCGTATAAAAGGAGCCTGTACTCATAGCAGCTCTTATGGGTGTGGGAATACCAGCGGAGTACAATAGGTTCTTTTGATCCGGCATCGCGCTACGCGTATACCCGTAAGATTCATCTTTGGACTTTAGGGTCCTCAATTATGAATCTGTGTCTCTCTTTTTGTTTTTTAGTCTATACGAAAAATGTGGGTCATCTGGTAACCGTATAGTACCTTTATTGCGGGACGTGCCATTTTTCATCATTATTTCTATTTCTTTTTTCCGACATGGCACAAGAATTCCTTTCAACACAATTCGTGTTTGTTATTGGCAACGGCAACAACACGTAGGTACGTGACACACGAAACTCACAAACTTGTTGGCACGTACCGTTGTTGCTGTTGTCGTTACACCACGTACATTGTTTATACATGCATAAAATTACACAATGGGAGCCACGGCAATTGTACTCTCTGTGGCTTTTTTTTTTTTTTTTTTTTTTATTTTTTTTTTTNCGACTTTGGATAATAAGTTTAAAATAATTCAATACTTAGTCAATATTTTCAATTAAGTAGTATGAGAAAAAGAAAGTAGAAGCACGTTATAATAAAACCTTAACTCATATACAATAATATAATCAGCAAGCGTGGAAGCACGACTATATCATATGAAATGGACAGTAGCAATGATTGTCACTCTTCACAAAGCTGCTTTTTTCCCATTAGCTGCAAGAGTGCATGTCATACTCCTAGAATCTGCTAAGCAGTTTGCGTAGCTGTGACGTGATATCACCTTAAGATAGATAGCGTAGCATGCTGCCATGAGCTGTGCACTTCTCTCAGTTTAGGCACACATTCGGTATACCCCTTCTACGTGTCTCCAAAATGGGCGCCTACATGCTCATTTTCACACGAATCCACTTCTGTTCTCAAAGGCGTACGCTGTTTGATGTGAGTCTCGCACTCTCGAAAAATGTGCGTCCGGTTCAATGACTGGCTGCGGTGGGTCGCCCCAATCAGTGCCAAGAAGTCGTCTCGCATTGTAGCATTGGCGTTAGCAATCTCTCTACTCATCTCTGCTTTTTGCTTCAGTTCAGTAGGATCCACTAGGTGGAGTAAAATCAAAGCTACCTGCAATAGAATTAAGTAAGTCTGGTTATTATATCCCTGAGAAAAGTACCGAGTACAGTCGTTCATCAGCCGTGCATGAAGCATAGAGCTGAGTCAGCTGAGAGTCATGCAGTTTGGTATCTCAGATATTGACAACACTGTTCTCTAATGGACAAACGACTTACATGAAACTCCATCCCGAACCGACAGCATTGACAAGTGCCACCAATAAAAAAGTGTTGTAAATGCTAACGTCTCCAGCCAAATACCAGGAGACATGTCTAGCCACAGCATAATCTGCTCTAGCATTATAGGGTATAAAGTATCATGGCTATTCTTCCAACTGTCCTGGGGCTACCGGAGCAGATTTTGCTTCAACAGCAAGCCAGGGATAACAACCCTCAGGAGTTTAGGCAGCCACAACGGCTTCCTTCTCAGTGATTGTCTCAAGGGCATACTCACAGAAAAGGTATTTTTCAGGCTCACTTTTTTAAGATATTCTTTGGCTAGCGGAGTATCTTCCTCAAGCACGACCTTCATATGCAGAAACTCTGAGGGTAAGAGTCAAGTTACCCACAGCTAGCTCTCCATCATCAAGAATAATAATCAGTAATGATTGAAAGTATTACCTCTGGCACTTTTTAGGATAATCATAATTATTTACATTCACTAACGAACTATCAATTTCATCGGATCATTTAAGGGCCACCTCGGGTTATCCTAATTTGCCAACAAACAAACTTTTACTACCATTTCCAGCAACTATACGTCGACTAAAAGACTGTATAAAGCCGGACACTATTAAACCAAGTCAGTCAATTACTAATAGACGTTACGAGCGAAGCTAAGGTAAAAGTACCAATGCTGGAACGATTTTTTGGTGAAATTTTGTTTCAAAATTCATACAAAATTACATGTAGAAGATAACATGAGTATTTAAACTCTTTTTTTTTTAACAAATGGTACTACGGTATATTTTTATTGCAACGAGCAACATAAGTACAGAAGATAGACTCTGTCACGCGACATCGATACATGTGTACACTACAGCGTAGGACTTCTTCTCTCACCATTCTCTTCTCTCCCTCTCTCTCTCTCTCTCTGTCGCATAAATTCCCAGGTAATCGCGTTATCGTGCGTGATCTTGACCCGATAAAATTGCGCCGCAACGTCACACGTTTGGAAACTCTCTTGACTAAACAGGCGACGTTGGCGCTGTTGAAGCATTGCTCGTACGTAGGAGGAAATTTTTCAAACTACGTGGATTCTCGAGATTTTTTTTTTTGTTTCAAAAGATAAGGCATGACATTTATTTTTTAAACACATAGATACTACTCGCGTATTTTTTAGATTAATAATATTATTTCGTAATAATAATGCCCAATGCAAAAAAAGAACTGCCGAAGCGGCGTCATTTGAAAGTCATAAATCTAGCGGGCGCGTGATGTGTAAAATTAATCTCTTATCTAAATCTGGGAGCGCAATGGGTAATTGATTCCATAAATTACTTTCAATAGCCGCGTACTTGCTCGATTCATTGAAATTTATAGGTTTTTATCATATTCCAACAGCTGTGAAAACAATACGGTCATATATATGTGTGTATCTAGTGACGATGATCTCAAAACTTTATCACTGCCATAGTAGTAGTAGTAGTGGTGGTGGCACAGTAAACAAAACACTATACACACGCTCGCGCGTAAACTGTCACCTGCAAGCTCTACATATTTCATTTATTATCGGCTCGTCCATTCGATCGGAATTGATATCGAGCTCTCATACATACGTACATGTGCATGCATGTATTTTGAAAATTATCCTATAAATTTTATTTTGATTTCGGAAAACAATTGTTTCTGCTTGACAAGTTTTCCCCTGCATTTATCAAACTGTTGAAAGCGGGTGGGTATCAAATAAATTTCCCCGTATTTTGTTACATATGTACAAAGCCATCCGACTCCAATCTCCAAACAAATGTAACCCAAAGTCATCTGCTCGCAGCATCATCGCGTTTCGATCATTAAAAGTGCCCTCGCGTCGCTCTCGAAATAGGTTAACGAGCATCATTTTTGCGAGTATAGCGAATAAAAGGGAAGAAAAGAGAGGAAGAAAAATAAGCACGAGAAAGGAGAAAAATCGATCGGTCGAGATCACATTGTACACGTCGTGTATAACACCAACTGGAAGAAGTATAGTTTGTAAAAAAATGCAACGTCACATTATTGCAAGCGTTGCTTCTCTCAAACACGAGAGAGGGAGAGAGATCACTTGAGCAATTAATGGGTCAGGTCAGATGTATAAAATGCCCACGTAAAAATATCCATGTGCATGTGTATACATGATGGAATGCAGATCCAATTGAGCTCTCGGCGTATAGTTTCTCGGCATCAGTCAGTGATGTTTCTGGCCTCCTTTTATTTCAAGCGTACACACACCGAATTAGTTGTAAGAATCTTCGAACCGTTTCAATTGCACAGAGATACATATATACACGTTGCACGTAATTGTAGCAATGACTGTGATTTTTATTGACGCCTCGTTTGTTTTGCAGGCCCAGTCGGACGATGACGACGTGGCGGACGATGTGTCCGTCACTATGCCCGAGGATGGACACATGAGCGAGTTTTTCTCGGAGGTACGTATACATACACACATGTGTTTCTTTTATGATCACCATCTAAAACTATAGGTATGATTCCTGTGAGCTCGTGTATATACTCCACTTTTTTGTTACCTAAAGTTAAAGTTAAAAAAAAATTTTTTTTCAATTACAAAAAAGATCTGAATGATATCCAAGAGAAAAAAAAAGTTTCCAGAGCAAGTTTGTACATATATGTAAATGTATATACTTGATAATTATGTAGGCGTCCAAGAGTTTATCGACTTTATCGGGAAAATCAACTCTGATCGCGGGTGGGGGGGTGGTATAGAATGAAAAATTGATTCGTCTCTAGTTTTAATTTTCTCTCCGTCTTTATAGGTATACACGTGCACCCCAGCGAGGGTTGTCGGTCGGAAAGGGAGGAGGATATAGGGAAAAAAAAAAAAAAACAGAGGGCGAGCGAAACTGGGTTCTGATACCCGCGCGAGAGGTAGCGTTGACAAAAGCCATCGAAGGGCCGCTGTTGCTTCATTTCGGTCGAGCCCGTGATAATGGAAAGTAGGTTAAATCGTTTCCAAAGAGGCGAAAAAGAGATCGAAGCCCCTCCCCCTACTACTTTTCCCGCTCGCGTGTACGGATACGCGCACTGTACAAGCGGTTGTGTGTAGTGTAGCGCTAACGTTGGGAAAAATAGATGTGTAGACTGTATGCGCGGGAAGGGAAAAATCGAGCCTCGTAGCCGCTCAGTGACTTCTCTCCTCCTGTGAATCGATAAAAATAAAAATACACACCCCACCCCCACACTTACTTCACTAATGTATACTTTATACACGTACATCGCATCACGCGTCATACACGAGCTCTTTTTCTTTTTCACCTCCTCGTAGGAGCGGATATATATATTATATGTGTTTCAGCTCCATGGAAATGAAAATCTCTCCTCTCGGTTATCGGGTATTTTCTCCCCCGCATCTGATACGACTCGCTCCCGTTATTACAAATATCCACGATACAACGTGCAATCTTACTTCACACCGAGTGAAAAAAAACACCCACACAGTAGATGATCAAAAGTTGAAAAATTACAGAAAAAAAAAAAAAAAAGAAGAAGAGTTTGACTAGCATCATGTACATACTATATACGTATCCTTCCGTGGCACGCCTGGCTGGCAAAATTGTACGTGCAGGGTTGTACACACGTGTGCACGTAGTACATGGTATATACGTAATAGACACAGCCCAGTCAGACAGTCGAGGAAGAGGGGCAAGCTATGCATGTATTGGCCTGGGCTCGGAGAGAGAAAGAGGGCGGGGGTGGGCGCGAAATCAGGCCAATGGTAGGTATATACCTATGGAGCTTTCAAATCGCGGCGTACGTACAACTCTACCGGCTAGGAGGAGGAGGTGGAGCCAGGCTTTTTTTTCTTTTCTGTGCTTTTCTTACGTTGTACATGTGTATTGGGCATATTGCCATTATCCACGCAGTTCCGAGCAGTCTCCGGTCACTGCACGGGAGGTCATTGCTTTGAAAAACTTGAGTTACACACACCCACATATTCTCGCACATATTGAACGGTCTTCTTTCGTCTGAAATTATGAATACGCATCACCAAAAGTTACTTGCCAACTATCGATCGGTACACATTTTACAACGGACGAGTCATCGAGAGATAAATCCTAATTTGGTTCGCAATTTGTAAGAAAAAAAAAAAAAAAAAAAAAAAAAAAAAAAAACAACGAGGAAATTATCCTACTTACCGTTTTTTTCTTCTTGCTCCACGGTTAGTCGCACTCGCGTGTCCCTTTCGCAACCGTTAGCTCAAAAACCAAGCAATTCAGAGCGATGACTCTGTTCGGCTGCAATCACCGAACGAGTAAGAGCTAAACAGAAGCAAGCCTGCCTCGGGAGGCGAGAGGAAGCAGCTTCGAAGGGCGAAAATTGAGAAATTCAGATGACAAAGTTAGTTGCTCCTCGTCCTCCCTCTCTATATATTTACTGAAGATCGAATCAAAAGGTATCGACCAACCACTGGTTAAATCTTGCACCAACAGCAGCATCAGCGAATCGTCCTCGTTTTCACATCGAAGCTCGCACAATACAAGTCGTAGTACCATGCACGCGTGGCCGCCTGATTATGCCACCACCAACAACAACAACCAGCCGTTCGCTCATTGTTCCGTACACGACGGCTAATTGTAGGTGCTGGTGATACCAACCCCGTTCCTCCAAATCACGTCGGCTAATGATTTCTGCCTCGCAATTAGCTGCCCCTCCCCCTGGACCGGATATGCCTGCATGCCTGCAGTCCCGGTGCTCTCGTCTGATTCACGCCCGCTTTGACCCCTCCCCCCCCTCTCTTTTAGCTCTGACCGAAATCGTCTCTCTCGCTTTTACTGTTGCACACCTATGTTTGATCGTAGTTTTTTTTCATAATTCGTATTTTATTTTTTAACGTCACCCAAGGTATAGCGAAAAAATATTTTGGCCAACAATCATCTCCGCACTTATCGTATCGTATTCATCATTTTTCGGTATATGTTTGTCGTAAATCGTACCTGCATCTTTATATCCTCTACATTTGACGAAAAGTAACACAAGAGCAGGCCTCACAAACGATTGGTTCGCAATCGCTTTGTTTACGCGTTCAAAGGACACTTATACCTATGTGCAATTTTATTGCCCAATTCATGTGTCATTCGAAAGAAAACTCCAGGTGGTATCACCTAATGTGTACCTAGCCAGTGAGAGAGTGAAAAGGGGTGCAATAAACCGGATTTTATGTCCGCGGTAACGGACTCATCGGTCACTTCGCTAATCGCCAACTTTTTCCTCCCGCACCTGTGATAAATCTTCCCGTCTCCTCCTCCCGGGCGCTATATTGCCCCTTCGCGTGTGCTAATGGCCCGGCGAAAAATCAATTTTCCGCCCATCCGTATCAATTCTCGCTCGCGTCGCACATACGTACACGTATACCGTTTACACAAAGTGCAGGGAACCATCGATTGTACATATACCTTAATTTTCATCTTGAAAAGACATGTACCCAAGGATCACCGCCGTACAGATATTATAACCAACGGAATAGCAAATGTAAAAAGCTCCCCCTATACGTTTAAGGGAGGGGCCGACTCGTTGATTTAAGCTCCCCGAAACATCCTCGTTTGCGTAAAGTGTTTACAGGTGCACGTCAGCTGAAGCAACGGTTTATACGTATACGTGTGAGCTCTTTCGCCGCTGCCCCAGAGGCAAAGTCTCTCTTTCCCTCTCGCTGTATACTGCCACTAGCACTGTGACTTGCTGACGTGCCTGGCGCACTTTAACTAACTACTCTACTTGTAAATCGGATTTACCTCTGCAATATCGAGATGCACGGGTATATACCTGTGTGTCTGTATACTTGGGCTCCTCGTCCCCCCCCTCATGCCTTTCCCGGTAGGTGTGTAAGTATAAACGCGGCGCTCGCGCGAACGTACACACAAAATAAGTAGTGTACGCGCAAACTCTCCTGTAAAATATCCTTGGGAATTGAGACTCGCCATTTCTTTAGGCTATACACACGTCATGTGTATACCTATAAATGCATGTACTGAAACTCGGAGAAGAGGTCAAAGGTCGTCGTCGTCGTAGTGGGTGCAATTGCGCGCAGCGGTTCGGCCAAGTAACCCGGAGCGCCCCTCGTACGAGTATACCCACTCGGTTGGGTTGGCCGCGGTCGTCGCACCTGGCAGCCTGCCACCTCGTTACACCACACTTGGGCTCCCGTTTTTAATGTGTTCTCCTCCTCTTGGGTGTGCTCGCGAAGGTGAGCAGGCGCGCTCTTTCCTCTCTCTCTCTCTCTTGGTAATTGTAACCTCCGTGTCGGCTGTAAAGTGCCCCGGTGTGACGTGACGCGTTTTTTTTTTGTTTTTTTTCATACTATCTCGGGTTTTTCAGCTAAACGTTCAGTTGGCTCGAGGCTACCCTGCAATTTATACACATATATACCTGTACGCAATCGCGCTTCGAGCTGCTTGTATTCGTATTACGCGCTTATATATTATTTGCTTATCAATTTAGTTGAACCATTGGTTATGGCTTGACTATTTTTTTTATTTGATATCGATGCCGATGCGGCGCTTACGTGTTTACGACTATACGGTATACACGTACATGTATATGATATTTGGCGCACAATCATCCAGGGATGTCAGTACCTTTTCGCAGCGTCAGTGGCTTTTTCGGTCTGGGGGCGATGAAATTTCGCTATCTCGTCGCGCGACCAAGTAAATAGGTGGTACATAGCATTATTATATACCCCCACGCTGTCTCGTCGAATGTATATAGAGGTGACTTGGCACTTTATTACGGTAGTATACAGTAATGTATACATGTAGACCTCGAATGGCATCATATTTATGGAACAGCAGTAGTAGACGATAGTGGCGCGATACTCGAGGGCGCCAACGGTATATATATATATAGTGTTTACCTTCTTGCTCCTTATATCCGTGAGCAGCGAATGCGCATAAAACATGTCCTCGATCAATCGTGTTTTTATATGTGTCTCTAACATTGCGTTGTACGTCGTTGTTGTTGTCGGAATAAGCCATTTTGGACTATTTACTTTATAACTGGAACTAGTGCTGATGATCGTAACGGCGTATCTATAAATTACATATTGTCTCCCTGTGTATAATATACTTTCTTTAGTCTGAAAATAAAAATGAGTAAAAACCAATTTCGTGTCTCGTAAAAATCGGAACTTCTTATTACTCGGAGGCAAGAGATAATAAAACCGTACACTGGCTAACTGCGAGCGTTTACTCGCTACATGATATACTTTGATTTAATTGTTACTCGTTACAACCCTCCGTACGAGCAAACCAGTATAGCGTATGATCCACTATGGCTCCGCACAATAGAATAGCTCGCGGTCAAATATTGAAGAAATGCGCACCAAGGGTGTTTTTTATTTTTTTATTTTTCTGTTCTCGTGCCGTTGAGTTCCGGTCACGTAGACAACTACCATTTCAAGGGACATTCGAGCTTCCAATCGCGGTGCATCCCTCTCGAAGTACGTGCCCCGGTATTACTATCATCTCCGATACACTGGCCAAGTACTTTTTTCACCTTTCTCTCGTCGTTATGAAGTCTTTAGAGCTTTTTGTAAGTCTAATCTGGAACACACGCGTTTTCAATCAGAATCGCGTAGTCCCGATTGTCGTTCGCTAGATTTATCCTATCCGCTCTCTGCTGACGCGCACCATCTTCGGCTCTTTTTACAGCAGCACATGCATCACGAAATTCCCGATACTCTTTTTTTTTTTTTTTTTTTTCCTTCGTCTTTTGTCCGCTGTCCAACGTACATCGCCCATCGTCGCCCGGGGCAGTACAATCGAGGGCGGCAAAGTTGAAAAATCGGCGAAAAGGCCCCGGTAATCGGTGGCTATTACCCACCAATCGATCGAACACACGCGCACAGTTGCTCTACATATCGCGAGCTGCCGATCATCCAATTTCTCGGAGGTCTAGCCGCGCTGGGGTAATTTCGCGAGGAATCGACCATAAATTCGACCCCTTTCCAGATACATCCGAGGCGGCCCTGTTAAATATACATACACGCGTCTCTCCATTCGTTCCTATGTATCCCTTCTTCTCTCTCTCGTCTCGTCGTTACCTCAATTCGACAATTTATTCTCCAGTATGGAAGGGGTGGGGGGAATTGTCTTTAATCGGCCGCTCGGATCAAATTTCTTTTTCTCCCTCCCGCGGACTTGAGACTTATTGGATGATTTTTCATTAAAATCTCGTGTTATTATGATTAAGCCGTACCCGGTCTTGTACAACTTGTATTTCAGGTACGATAATCCCGAGGATCCCTTTATCACATACGTAGACGAAATCTCCCTATAGCTCGGATTGGGACGAACCCGAGCTCGTTGCAATTTGTATAACAATTATCCTAAGAGCACTTGGATCATATAATACATTTGATACGAGCTTGAAAATTGTTGGATGTATTTGAGAGCTAAAAAAGTACAAAGTCAAGCGTGCGATGTGACAATAATATATATCTTTCACGAGAGCCACAGGAATTGAAGATTATCGCCCGATAATGGCAATAATCGCGTTTCTTTTTTTGTTTTTCAGGTGGAAGAGATACGAGAGATGATAGACAAGATCCAGGCGAACGTCGAGGAGGTGAAGAAAAAGCACAGCGCCATCCTGTCCGCGCCTCAGACCGACGAAAGTAAGTTTTTTTTTTTTTTCTCTCTATTCCTATACTTTTTTTATCTCTCTTTTTCTTCATCTCGAGTTTCCCGACGTTGTGGTTTTACTGCTAATTAGCGCAGCGGATGAAACTGCTGTACTTACCCGTTGGTCTGACGCGTTAAAAAGACGATTCGCGCGCTATGACGTGTACTTTCCTCGCACCCTCTGCCCCTCCCCTTTTTTAGCCCAATTAAAAAGAGAACAACAGTACAGGCTCGTTAAGAACTGTTCTCTTTGAATCGACTACGCACGAAGAAGGATTTTTTGTTTGTTTGTGGTTTGAGAGAAAAAAAAAAAGAAAGATTTTCCGCTGCCATCGTTGCGCGTCAACGACGCTCCGAGTTATCTCCCCCTCGCGCGCACGGGCCATCCGCTCAGCCCCAATTTCCCGTCTTCGGACTCCCTATATGCCCCTTCTTCTTTATCTCCCCACCCCCACATAGAAATCTTCTTCCGGCGGATGATCTTTCTCGCGCGACGATTCCTATCTGTCGGCTTCCCCCTCCGAATAAGCTCCGAGGGCGGGTATCCTGCTCGTTTTCCAAAATAGTTGTAAGGAGCGAAGAAGAAAAAAAAAAGGGGGGGGGGCCCATCTCTCACAGTTCCAAAGCCGATCCTCGGCACTAATCGAAAGAGAGGGCGCGCCGGTGAGTTTTCAATTCCAAGACGGCGAAGCGCCCTTTCTTTCGCTCGATAAAATGCCCCGGCTCTTTCGTTTAATCTGGTAAACGCTCAGAAATTCACAGAGAGAGAGCGTCAACGCGCGATGATGGTATATAGGAGGTCAACGATCCTCCTCGCCTTTGAACCCTAACAAGCGTTTTGCTCCCCCCCCCCCGTCTTTCTTTCCATCTCCGAGCCCTTCTCTAATCGAGTACACTCACACGCGCGTACACGGGTAATTCGCCCCTCCCTTTGGGGGTGAGTAAGGGGCACCACCACGAGCGCGCGGCTGAGTGGGTACATCTTTGCATAATTATTATTCTCCCGTCGTTGTCGTGGGTACACACACACACACACCACCTAATATACACGTCATAAGCAGGTTACTGCTATGTCGAATGCATATTTCAGAGAGGGGGGGTGGGGTGGAGCGGGATATTACGTATGCGAAACAACGGTGTTTAAACAAAAGCATCTCTGGAAAATTCAATAGCCCGCGCGAAATGGGATTTTTAATGCGAATGTAAATATTTTAACCACTTTTGTACCGCCGAACTTTCCACACAATCCGCAATTTGAAAATTTCATTACGCCCTGTCCTCTCTTTATCTGGGTAAAAACTTTTTGTTGTTTTTTTTGGGCCCGAAAAAAAGTAGTCCAACAACTCTATTTTTCCCACGCATATATACACGCACGTACAAAATTCGGGTGTTTTAAATGGAGTTACGCCGGAGGAAGAGACGGCTCTATACATGCATGAGTGCGCGCGTGTTGATTTCGCCCTGCGTCGACGATGTATACACACCTGAACGAGAAATGAATAATATGCAGATGACACGCGTCGTCCTACAAACCCGCCACGTGCAGACGCACTGTATGTATATAATTTACCTACTCGTTCGTCGTACACAGCAGAGCGAGCGCTAGATATAATTAACGCTGGGCCTAGAGTTCCGCGCTGCTGTAGATTCCGAGTTACAATGCGCTGATACGAAGAAAAAAAAAAAAGAAAAAAAAGAACCTGCGCCCTTGCAATCAATAAATAACACCTACATACACACACATGCGCGCTGTAAAGCAAGATATACACGCGTCGTCGTCCGGGTGGAGGGTGGGGGTAGGAAAGTCGAGAGACGAGCGCGCGAGTAAAAAAGATCTTTTTCGGTATAGTGGGTACAGTGGCGGTATGGTAGTAGTCAGCAGCAGCTGCAGCTGAGGCGAGACAAAGAGAGAGAGAGAGGGTTCGGGAGGAGGTGGGGAGACGGCCCGAGCGTAATACTTATCGATCGCATACGTAGCCGGGGGTACGCGACGGCGCGCAGCTAAGCGAGCCGAGGAGGAGGAAGGAAAGCTCTGTAGATGTATATATATATATATATAGGTACACCTACCTGCGTGCGTTTTCTCCCTCTCCCGCCCGTGGGACACGCAAGATCACCCTTTTTCTTTCTATTTCACCCTCACTTCCTTGATCCATACCGATGAATACATTTTTTTTTTTACTCGTATACACACATATGTAGAGTAAAACGTTCGAAGAGTTTATACAAGAGTAAGTCGAGTCTCCCAGGTTGTCTGGCTTATATATGTACTCATCGCTTGCGACTCAGTCCCACTTGAAACTCATTATCCGGCCGATTCGATCGAACGCCCGGCCTTTGGCGTGTACACGTACGTGCACGTATCGTAATCGGTACTGTACTCGCTGCTCCTGCTGAAGCAGCATCTCGGCGCACACGCTCGAACCTTTGATCATCCTTGTACGCGAGATGCACCCGTACACATGTGTATATGTTTAATAGCTGGTTGCTGTATATAGGTAAGTTCGAGCGATTTGGCAAAATAACACCGATATTCCGTACACTTGTGTACTCTATATTGTATGCTGAACACCAGAGAGTTCGCCAGAAGGGCCAGAAAATTAACGTCGGTGATTGAAAAAATGTGTGGGCTTTATTTATTTTTTTTTTTTTTATTCATATTTTCATAAGCACGTATATTATATATTCGTCGTATCGATCGATCGGGGTTTTAATCATGGACAAAAAAAAAAGATGCATTTTAATACGCGCTGTCGATTACCTGCAAGTATCGAACGAGAAATAATTCTCGAGCCGCACTGGAAAGCTCATAACTATTTTCGCGGCGTTATTAAGGTCTTCCCGAAATATACCCCGAGACAACTTTTTTTTTTTTTTTTTTCATGTCACAGTTACGTCTTCACGTGTATTTACCGTGGGAGAGCGCACATCATCCAATATACAAACCGAATCCTCGTCGAGTCGAGCTCATCGGCGCGCTAATTCTATGTACACGCACGTGTCGTAATGACCTGAGAAACCAATCGATCAATCTTGGCACCGTATCGGCTCTCACACACCCAGTTTCCTCTATGCACCTCTACATGACATACCCTTCGTTTCTTTCAACCACGAGCATCTAGCCCATGACTTATTCAAACGCTCTCTCACCCCCTGGCTCGCTACGTATACATATAAGTGTTATATGCCTATACCACATCCACTTGCGAAAACGAGGCCCCCTCTCCTCCCCTGGCACGCTTGAATGTGTTCATTTGCAGCTGCTGTACTTCCCATCGCGCTGTCCATGCACTCGGGAGATTTCCAAATTCACGCGTGAATATTGCACGGAATGGGACCTTTTTTTTTTTCTTTCTTTCCCTCTCGTGTCTGCGTGCGTCCGTATACGCCATACTGTCTTTTATTTCTTCCGAAATGGATGTACAGAAGACGACCGTGCCAATTGATGTTTCGCGCAAACGAAAACTTGGTGGCTGGCGCTGTAGCAGGAGGGGATTGATTATCAAGCGAGGAACAATTTTTGTAAAACCAAGAGAGAAACGAGACACCGGCTGAGTGAATACATACACACGCATATATATATTGTATCCCGGGTTCTCTTTTTCCCCCGCTCGAAAATTCGCGCGAGTCACGCGAAGAGCGCACGGCCCGCTTCAAGTAATTGCTTCTTCTCTACCTCCCTGCTCTCTTACCCTCGTTAAAGACCCGTGTACTTGGGTGTCTACGTGTATACCTACTACTCCCAAGTCGTGCATACCAACGTCTAAATTTATACGTTTTAACTTACGTGTGTGTACTCTGCACCCCCTTCTGGCTTCTACTTGGACTGCCTTGTAAGATTGATTCGAGTGTGAACTATACGTATACGTGAGCTATTCATCCCCCCCCTCTCTCTCTCTTTCGTGTGCCCCGGATGATGGAGGAGAAATACATGTATATGATCGCGCTGCTTATGAAACGTGCGAGGTGACTGCCGGCTAAATTAATCAGACTCCATTCCGACGAATACTGTACACAGCAGTAAATACAATCAGTCACCAATCGTGTACTACTACATTCATCATTCGTTGGTATATTTTTTTAGGGAAATTCGAAAAATACACTCAAGTACCTGTATACGCTTTGTATTAATTCCCGCGAAATTTCCATTTACCCGAAGCATGTACAGCACCGAGGCCACTTTGTTCGGAAACAAAGAGCAAAATCAGCCCCTCGTGAAAGGTTGCTAAAGGGGGGGGGGGGTAAATAATCGATTATTTGTTCGAGGTTTCATACAGGTACCACCCCCCACTCCCCTCCCACGTGTAATTTCCGAGCAATTAATCGAGCGAGCTTCTGGCCGCTGATAGCGCGCGCGCGCGCGCCACAAGTATATACTGTACTCCACAAAAGCGCAATAAGGGGGTGCGTGCCCCTTCGCTTCCCCTCCCTCTCGCAGCCAGCGCCTCCTCCGTCTTCGCCGCTTCCGAGAAAACGACGTAGACCGTCGATCGGCCCCGCCGTCTGACTATTTATACGGCTGTACTACTGTCGGTCGCAGACGCGGGTATTGGCGCTGCCCCTTGATTCCCGCCTTCTCGCGTCTACGTGATCGTGTTTACACATATATAATATATACTCGATGGGTTGATTGTTGTTAGTTATTGTCTCAGAGTGTATAGCCTGAGAGGGTAAGAGCGTCCATTATTCACTCAGGTGTGCAGCTCGTGCATATACGTCTTCCTTTCTCCGTACATCGGTCCTTGGCCTAAAGGGGACGGATGGTCATGCACGTTTTCCCGATAATTGACGGATGGGCACGGATATAAAAAGCTTATTTTATGTTTTATTTTCTCCCAGGTGTTTCCACAATTGAATCGTGAAATTTAAGCTGCGAGCAGCGCGATGTTTAACCATACAGTTTGAAATTCGTTAAAGGCGCGAACGGCAATTTCATTGACAATTTTATTTCGGTTAGTGAACGAGCTAGTGACGCGGAAGGGTATTTCGTGTG